TACAAAGTCATACTTACAAAATAAACATCAATTAGCTCAAATACAGTGTCAAATAGATTAAAAGTTATTTCAAGGACTGCAAACAGTAACTGGAAATGTATTAAGTTGAGGTGGAGGGGTGTCTAGCTGAGGGAAGACAGCAAATCAGACAAATGTGAAGTATGACAAGGCAGCAAAAGGCAGATGAAATTTTGTGCTCTGTATATAAAGACATCAAACCCCAAAACTCCGAGATTATATTCCTTCTCCAGGCGACCACAATCCAAATACAGCATTAAATTCTAGCATCTCAATGATAGAAATTAACAAATCAGAAGACGTTCTAAGAACAAAAAAAATGTAAAGGAATTTTTAAAAGAGTTAAATTCATATAGCTTGGCAATGACTAAGAGGCGATGTATAAATCTACAAATACCTAAAAAAGAAAAGGAAAGAGAGGAATTACTTACTATGGAGTTGTACCAGTGGATTTTACTAGTATAAAGGAACAACATTAAAAAAAATGTAGAGCAAATATTAGGAAAAGCTTTATAACAGTGAGAGCTACTAGATTATAGAATAACGTGTCTCCCACCTTTCCCACCCATGTTTCTTCCAACACTGTACAAATGCTCTTTGAATACCTCTTCAGGTCTGCTTCTCATAGACTAGCCCTCCTATAACTCTGAATGCAGTGAAGACCACATGACTTGGGACATTTAGGACAAAGTGACATGGGCTAGAAAATGTATGGCAGAAAAAAATCTGACAGAGGGGGACACTAGATAAGTGTGTAATATATAAACAACTTTAACTATATCTGATACAGTTTTGTAACAGTTAATTCTTAATTTATTTTATACGAATTTTTATTCTCCTTTTTTAGCGATTGTCCTATTGCTTCAATTGAAAAAGTACTAAAGCAAATGGATTTTCACCTATGCTATTATTCAGAGATTACCAAATTACAAACTTTATGAGTTTTTCAAAAAAGTATTATTTAATCAATAAGGAGCTGACATTATTTGGGCTATTTTTATACAGAGAGGGGTTTGTTTTGTTTAATTTTTGGTGCATTTTGTTTTTTGCACTTTATTATACACATGTATTTAGGGAAAGGATGGTGTGGGGAAGACAGGAAGGAATAAGCTAAAAGGAAAAAAAAACAAAGGAAGGGTGAGGGAGGTAAGAGGGGAAGGGGAGGAAAAGAAAGGAAGGATGGAAAGAAGCATTAAGGACGAGTGAATATAGGCTGAAGAGAAGTGACTGTGAGGAGATGGTGGGAAGGGGCTGGAGCATGTACCCAGTTGGCACATGAGAAGAACAATGAGAGTAGAACTGTAGAAAATATAGCTGGATGACATCATCTGCGTCCAAATATGCCTGCTGCTGAAAATACTTCTGCAGCAGTGTCTCTGGTTGGCTTTACCATATAGTTTCTTTCTTTCTTTTGTTCATATGGCTAGGGGGCAAATATGGGATCCTAATATCTCTATCATGAGGTGTAGGGAAGGGTTGTCTCCCCTGCACAGTTCTGGGTCTGAAGGTCATTGTGGGGAAGGGGTAGCCCGCAGCTGGGTCTCATCTTTCTCTTTCCCCACTATGTGATGAAGTATTTTGCTGAAATGGCTTCAGCAGCTGATCCTTCTGGCTTGAATCTAACACCCCCAAGTTGGCTCCACCCATTGACATATATTTTGAACAGTGGTTTACTTTTAAAGTCTGTCCTCCCGCCATGCACACACATACACACGCTATACAGACTGGAGTAATAAACTGATTGGATTTTTATAATGTGGCAGTCACAGTGAAATGAAGAGAATAGATCTAAGAAACAAAATAAAATATTTTATTGTATATTTCTTTTTTGTCAAGGTTACATATAAAAACCTTTATTTTAATTTCAAGCCTAGCTTTACTCATTTTTCAGTAAAATTTTTTATTAAACATATTAAAATGTAAAATGGCAATTTCACATTCCCACTCTAATTAAGTTCAACAAAGGGTTGGCTCAGTCTTTTATTTTACGATTTCTTACATAATGGAAGTGAAGTATACCATAATAAATCTTCTAACACAAACTCCTAATACTTTGTACATTCTTACTTATGGTGGAGACTTATCTAAAAGACAAGTATACTGACTGAACAGAAATGCTCTGAAATGTTTAAAATATCCTGTTAAAAACCATCATGTATATTGTTCTATAGGATTTTCTACAGGGGTGTAATTTTTTAGTGTTACATCTTAATGCTGACTTCCTGAAGGAGCTTTGACTACAATAGGCATGAATATGTTTTGAAAGGATGATGGATAAATTGCTGGGTGGTAATATAACATATCTTAGGCAGCTGATGGGGCTTTTTTTCTTCTACTTGTCTTTTAGTTATACACAGTTTTAAGATAATTATGGTCTATAAGATTGTCTTTTCCCCTTTCCAGTACCAGCAATATTTGTCTTGGTTACAGGTTCCAGAAACACCCAATCATACATCATAAAATTAATGCAGGGCAATTATAGCATTTAACATTGCACTGTATGAACAAACCGTCAATGTCCTTGTTTTGGTCAGTCATTTTCTGGATTAGTTGCCGGTGACAGGTTTTTAAGATGCAATAGTTTATTTAAATATTAGTTAAACTATAGCATGCTGAACTCATTGCCATAATTTTATCTAAAGAAAACTGACAGTTTATATAACTCATGGTTTAAGAAAGATAAAATCTTTGTTTTTCCACTGACTGCAACTCTACAATCCCCACATTCTCCAAAGCTCGGTTAACCAAAATTCTTAGCTTCATGAATGTTGGGATACCATTAAAAGAAACTAAATATCAAGACCCTAAAATTGAGACACCGCTCAAAATGCATTTACGGGAAAATTTCTAATGACATTTCTTTGTATGATTCACAAACAAAACTGGACTTTGAATGAAAAATCCGTTTAAAGAAGATAAATGTTGACGTTAAAGAATCATCATGTTTTCCATAAACCTCCTGCCCCTTTCTAATAAATCAAGGGTAGCAAAGAACAACAGATATTGACTTATAACATTGAAATATAAAATGAAGAATTGTTAATGGTAAGATTAAGAGCTTTGATAGCTATATTTTTAATGATTTGTAATTATGTACAGTGAATGAGCACAACTGATGCAACATTTAGGCCAAACCTTTGGCCGACATAACTGTGGGTTTTGTCAATTCTTCTTTTACGTAGAATTGCTACTCTGATTAAAATGTTTTGTGACAGAACAAAGATAACATGTATTGAAAGAAGTAAGTAGAACTTATCATGATAAACATAAGATAAATAAAATATATAATGATATATATTCCTCCAGGATAACCCAGGATAGGGTGTCACAAATACAAAATGACCCAGAAACTGCAAATCCAGCAGGAAAAATACAGAAGTTGGGTAACTGAAGCTTGCACATGCGTAGTGTACGGGTTACCTAAAATCCAAAGGGCTGATGTGCTAAAAGCCACTTGGATAAAGATTAAGTAATCTGCAACATAGACATATATAAAAGACCTAAGTGAACATGGGCCCAAACTGGAGAAACACTACACCAGAAACTAAAGAATGGGACAGAAGGACCAGACCCTGAGATCAGAGAAGGCAACAACCATCCTGGAAGATGGAAAAACTTCACAGTACCCCAGAATGTGGTAACTTGGGCCCATTTACCAATTCTATCTTGTCCATTATTATATGTTCAGACATTGTAAGTGACAACAATTCTGTCTGAAATTATATAAATAAAGACAAAAAATGATTAAGCCTAAATTAGGTGGATTTGTGACTCCGTTTCCCAACTTTCACCCCAGCAATGAAGGCCAGATATAATGTCCTCCAAAGTTTGACTTTTTGATGAGTTCCAGTCCTGAGAAGCTCAGAGGTTCCATAGGAGAGGACCTCTACTCCAAACAGTCTGAAAGCCCTTTATTCCAAAAGCTAAGTAAGCTAGTTTTTGGGAAAAGTCTTAAGTTTCCTGAGCGTTAGCAACCCAAGTACATTCTGGGCCACAGAGCAGAGGGAATTTGAATGCAATGACTGAATAGGTTCCTACTGAGTATATGTATCCCCATGCTGTACCCCACACTCTGCTTCCCAGGCAGCGAGTGGTTGCTAGTGCCACTCCCACGCTGACTTCATGTAAGTAATGTAGTCTGACCGCCATTAAGGGCTCTATACTACTATGTACAGAGCACTAGGCCCCAACTAACATCAATGGGATGTGCTTTGTGGAACCAAAGACAGAGTGCGTAGGACATTTCAGGATCAATCCCGAAATACAGTCACTGAAGCGCACATATGTAGATAATACACTTCCAGAAAGACACACATAGCAGAAGCACAAGTGTAGCACTTATGAAGGTTTTTTGCACTTTTATTGAGGTCTACAAGGATCTTTTTAGCAAGGGAGAAACTCAGTATTCAAAGTAGTGGCAAAATTGTGCATACAAGCTGCTGTCACAACAACCCATATTTCTTTTGCCAAATTTTCTCAGTTATAGCAATCTTAGGTGTTATCATTGTAATAGGAACATATTTTAGAAAAATGAAATTTAAAGATTGCCAATGTCCCTTTACCTTTTTTTGTTTATATATCATATTAAAAATGACTAATCATTACAAAATAGTTATACTACAAAGAGAGCTCTAAGCTTTCTTTTTGAATATATTGGTCAAAATCTATATATTTCAAGGTTTCTCGATAGTATTTCATTTAAAATTTCTTAGATATAAACACAGGAAACAGCAGCTATATAATTATGAGACACACACCAAACTGTTTTTCAAACTACTTTGAAATTAGCTTAATTACTATTTATAACAGATAATCAAGAAAATACATTATTTACAATTTCATCTAAGAAAATCAGTGTGTATAATGTAGAATATATATTTTAGAACCTTATTAAATTAATCAAGGGATTAACTTTACTTTGTAAACAGGTTTGTAAAAGTATCTGGATTAATAAACTATAATCTAATGTATCAATTTTTTACCTTTAAAATGTCAGCAGGATCCTCTTTAGCAGAAGCAACAAATAAATTATGTCCACAGACTATTCCCTCTGCGAGGAAATACTTGAACAACAAGTTGGAGTAAATACCGTATTTATCTTCCTCTGTGGAAATAGAGGGTTTTTTGGTTAGTCACAAAATGCAAGTGTGTGTGTGTGTGTGTGTGTGTGCGCGCGCGCGCGTCCGTCCCACCTTTCCCACCCATGTTTCTTCCAACACTGTACAAATGCCCTTTGAATACCTCTTCAGGTCTGCTTCTCATAGACTAGCCCTCTGATAACTATGAAGAGCAGTGAGGAACCCAAAAGCACAAGCTAAGCAAGATGAATCCAAAGCTTTAGATGTATGACTCTGTGAGAGATTTTATTTTTGATTTCTCAGACTAGAAAAGGCACAGCCATGGCATTTTAGGACCATCCTGACATACACTGGGTCCATATCCCAGCAGCAATCTCCACCTGAAGACAAGATCCAGGCCTTCTTCACAACTCAGTTTTCCACCAATATCAACTAATTGAGGTTGCAATAGCTCAAAGAACTCCTCAACTGCTCCCTCACCTAATGCTTCTTTTTGAGTCACCAGGAAAGCAAAAGATCAAAATGTGACTCTTTCTTATGCATGATAGAACTATATGCTACTCATCAAGTTGTCATGGCTTTTTATAAAATTTATATGACATTTCACAAGCATCAATGACACATACCAGCTACAGTAATAAGAAATGGCATCCCTCTCTCTATATATTTATTTATCATTTACACATCAGTATTTGTCTGTGGTGCCAAAACAGCTCATTTCTGTTTACCAGTTCTCACACCCTAGATGTGTGTGCATGCACATTCAAGAACAGCAAATAGACATGGAAAAATTTATATAAAACATAAAAGTCTCTAGAAATTCAATCTTTAAAAGCATTTTTAGTTGGCAAAAGAGCTTCAGGTCGACAATTTGTTTTCAAAGTCACTCTAAGTAAACCTATCAAAATGAAAGACAAGGTCAGAAACATGAGAGTTTATAGTTGGTTTTTTTCTCTCTCCAGAGAAGCCAGCAAACAAGAGCAGCATAGAGAAGAGTTTTGAGAGGGAGTTCTCCAGGTGAAGGAGGAGCAACTACATAACCCTTGGGGTGAATGTCATCTGTTTGTTTGTTGTATGTTTGCTGCTTGCCACGTGCCTGACTGAAATTTATAGTGTGGTCTGTTTGGCAGGGGGAGTGGGGGAAATGTGCTGAGCCTAGTGCTAAGAGCTTCTTTAAGGGATCAAAGCCTTGTTAGGAGCCCTTAACCAGTGGGTGGGGCTACTCCAGGAGAACAGGATTTTAAAAAGCCAGCTCCTAAGCAATGAGAGTAGCTAGCGAACAGGTGAGTTTTGCGAGGGAGTTTAGAGAGGGAACGAGAGAGCCAGATATACCTAACATTCTCTAAATTTAGGCCAACAAACACCCCCTGCCAAACAAACAAACGACAAGCAAACAAAAACCAGCAAGAGTGAAATTAATGCAGCAGAAGTCCAGCGGTGGAGTGGTGGATACCCAGTTTATTGCACTGAATGCAGCATGTATGATTACCTGCCTTGTGAGGCCAGAGTGGCTGAACTGTACAAGCTAAGTGAGACACCGACAAAACTTTCCAGGACATAGTAGAGCAGTCTCAGTCTGACAGCCTTTGTGCTATTGAGGAAGAAGAAAGTCTCGGAGAAGGAGAACATCAAACTGGATTGGAGGGAAACAGTTCCATAGTTGGGACCCTCCTTCTAGATGATGTCATAGTATTCTCTTGCACTAAGGGTGCCCCTCTGGGAGAGGGGACCCAAGTTATTAGGAAGAGAAGGCAATAGCAATGGGGGATTTGATTTTAGAAATACAGATAGTTGGGTCTGTGATGATCAGGAGAGTAGCATGGTAAGTTGTCTGCCAGGTGTGAAGGTTGTGTATCTCTTGAGACATCTAGACAGACGTATGTGCAGTGCTGGGGACGAGCTGGTGGTTGTGGTACATGTAGGTACCAGTGACATAGGGAAAGGTAGGAGAGAGGTCTGGAGGCCAAATTTAGGCTGCTAGGAAAGAGATTAAAGTCCAGGTCCTCCAGAGTAGCATTCTCCAAAATGCTTCCAGTTCCATGTGCAGGCCCAAGTAAACAGGCAGAACTGAAGAGTCTCAATGCGTGGATGAGATGATGTAGGGAAGAGGGTTTTAGGTTTATTAGAAAGTGGGGAACCTTTTGGGAAAGGAGGAGCCTATGAAGGATGCACTCCACCTAACCCAAAATGGAACCAAATTGTTGGCATGTAAAATTAAAAAGGTCGCAGAGGATTTTTTGAAACTAAGGGCTAAGGGAAAAATGACAGGTACGGAGGAGCACGTTGTTCTGACAGAGGTATCCCTTAGGGGAGGATCTATTAACAGGGATTCTCTATATCCTAGTAAAGAGAGAGGATAGTAGTTGAAAAAGTTCAGATAGGAGCTGAAGAGAACAAGCCAAAGGAAAAAGAGCCCCATTCAATTACAGCACTTGAAGGCAGACAACTAACTATTGACACATTTTATAAAAGTGTTTATATACAAATGCAAGAAGTCTAAATGCTGAGAAACTTGAGTGCCAAATATTAAATGAGGATATTGATTTAATAGGCATCACAGAAAGTTGGTAGAAAAATGGTAATCAATGGGACACAGTAATACCAGAGGACAAAATATACAGGAATGACAGAGTAGGCTGTGTCGTTGGGGGAGTACACAGGATCTGATTCAAGAGGTGAATATAACGGAACTGCTTGGTAATAGCAACCATAATGTAATTAAATTCAACATCCTTGTGTGGAGAAAATACCAAAAAACCCACCACAGTAGCATTTAACTTCAAAAAGGGGAACTACTCAAAAATGAGGAAGCTAGTTAAATGGAAATTAAAAGGAACATTCACAAGAGTGAAATGCCTGCAAGTTGCATGGAAACTTTTTTATAAACACCATAATAGAGACTCAAATTAAATGTACACCCCACATAAAAAAACCCACAGTAAGAGGACCAAAAAAATGCCCCCATGGCTAAACAGAGTAAACAAGGTAGTTAGAGAAAAAAAAAGGCATCCTTTAAAAATTGGAATTCAAATCTTACTGAGGAAATAAAAAGGAGCATCAAGTCTGGCAAAAGTGAAGTATAATTAGGCAGGCCAAAAAAGAATTTGAAGAGCAACTAGCAAAAGACACAAAAATTAAGTAAAAACATTTTTTAAATATGTCAGAAGCAGAAAACCTGCCAAACAATTAGTGAGGCCATTGGATGATTGAGGTGCTAAATGATCAATTAAGCCAAACAAGGCTATTGTGAAGAAGTTAAATGAATTCTTTGCATCAGGCCATGTCTATACTTACAATCTTATAGCAGTACAGATGTACTGTACATAGCTGTGCTGCTGTAAGTTCACTCGTGTAGCCGCATTATGCCGAGGGGAGAGTGCTCTCCCCTCGACATAATCAAAGCAGCTCAACTAACAGCGGTAGCTATGTCGACGGGAGATACTGTCTTGCTGACGTAGTGCTTTGCACACAAGCACTTATACCGTCAAAACTTAATCGCTTGGGGGGTGTCTTTACACACCCCGAGCAACAAAAGTGCTAGTGTAGACATGGCCTCAGTCTTCACCGCAGAGAATGTGAGGGAGATTCTCACACCAGAGACATTCTTTTTAGGTGACAAATCTGAGAAAGTGTCCCAGAATGAGGTGCCAATGGAAGAGATTTTGAAATAAACTGATAAGTTGAACAGTAATTAATCAGTAGGAACTCAAATATGAAGCTGCAGAACTACTAACTGTGATATGTAACCTATCACTTAAATCAGCCTCTGTACCAGATAACTGGAGGATAGCTAATCTAATACCAATGTTTTAAAAAATGCTTGAGAGGCGATCCTGGCAATTACAGGCCAGTGGGCCTAACTTCAGTATCAGGGAAACTGGTTGAAACTATAGTAAAGAACAGAATTATCAGACACACAGATGAACCCGATGTGTTGGGGAAGAGTCAACACAGCTTTTGTAATGGGAAATCATGCCTCACCAATCTATTAGGATTCCTTGAGTGGGTCAAATATATGGACAAGGGTGATCCACTGGATATAGTATACTTGGACTTTCAGAAAGCCTTTCACTAGGTCCCTCATCAAAAGCTCTTAAGCAAAGTAAGCAGTCACGGGATAAATGGGAAGGTCCTCTCATGGATCAATAACTGGTTTAAAGACAGGAAGCAAAGGGTAGAAATAAATGGTTAGTTTTCACAATGGAAAGAGGTAAATAGCAGGGTCTTCCAGGGATTTGTACTGGGACAAGTGCTATTCAACATATTTATAAATGATCTGGAAAAAGGGGTAAACAGTGAGGTGGCAAAGTTTGCAGATGATAACTATTTTGGTTAATTTTGTAAGTCCAAAGCAGACTGTGAAGAGTTACAAAGGGATCTCACAAAACTGGGTGACTGGGCAACGAATATTGATAATTTTGCATTGGAAAACATAATCACAACTATACATACAAAATGATGGGGTCTAAAATAGCTGTTACCACTCAAAGCAGAGATCCTGGAGTCATTATGGGTAGTTCTCTGAAAACATCTGCTCAATGTGCAGTGGCCATCAAAAAAGCTAAGAGAATGTTATAGCTACGACCTTTCCTAATGTTTTTATAAGACACTAAGTATCATAATGCCACTACATGAAGCCATGGTATGCCCACACCTTGAAAACTGCATTCAGTTCTGATCACCTCATCTCAAAAAAAGTTGTATCAGAAATGAAAAAAAATACAGAGACGGGCAACAAAAATGATTGGGTGTTTGGTACAGCTTCCATATGAGAAGAGATTAAAAAGTTTGGGACCATTCAGCTTTAAAAGGAGATGACTAAGGGGGTATATGCATGAATGTAGTGGAGAAAGTGAATAAGGAAAAGTTATTTACCCCTTCACATAACACAAGAAGCAAGGGTCATCCAAAGAAATTAATAGACAGTAGGTTAAAAAAAAAAAAACCCAACACACACACACACACAAGAAAGTACTTCTTCACACAACACAGAGTCAACCTATGGAACTCATTGGGGAAGATGTTG